AGGCACTGGGTGCCCGATGCTTTGTGCACATTCCATTATTTTATACCGGCGCTATATCCGATACCATCGTGGACCTCATCATACTGGCAATTCCTGTTCCTCTCATTTGGAAATTGAACTTGCCGACGAAACTGAAAATTAGCGTCAGTTGCATCTTCTTGCTGGGTGCTCTGTAAGTATCTGCTGTTCGTTATGCTTTGTCCGTTATTTTAAGTCAACCCTTTTGGCTTGGTAACGAGCACAAAATGTCGGCGGACTCCAAAATCGACAGTTTATATCGCGTATTGTTTTCTTGACTGTAGATGTTGACATGATCATAGCATTATTGGTATTAGTGCTGCGCGAATAGCTCCATTTGTCCATGCAGGAACAACTCTGGAAAAGACCACAGATATATCATGTAAGTTTTATTGCATGATAATTCCAGGTTCCGTGAAGGTCATAGGGGTTTTCCTATTAGGCCTATTCTTGACATTAATCTAAATGACTGACACTAATAAAGATGATACCTCACCGACATTATACTGGTCTCAACTTGAATGCTCGGTGGCTGTAGTATGCGCCTGCTTACCAACGCTACGTATCATATTCAGTGACGTGTCTATTCAAAGCCTCCGCGAATTCGCTAGCAAGATCTCATTACGAAGCCTTGCAATCAAAACACCATCACAGCAGAGCGTTCCACCATGGGACGAAAGTCTAGACAAACAAAATAGCTTGTCCGCAGTGCTCGGGACAAGGGACTACACAGCGGCTGTGCGGTGTGAGCCAACTAGCCAGGTATCGGCAGACATTGTGGTGGACAGGAATGTTTATCAATGCGTTGAAGCACGATCATTGGATGGAATCTACTTGGTGTAATCTATTATGAGTAACAACTATGATGTCTTCTTGTACTATGGGATAACTTGACTACAGGTCATTGGGATTGTTATAATTCTGTTTTGAGATAGGAGTGGAAGGTTACAAACGCACGAGGCGAGCAATCTTATAACAGAGCACTAACATCAGCGGGAAAACATCATAAATAGTCTTAACACTTCTTTTAAGAACATTCATAGGCGTGAGAAAGGGCTATGGTCCCGCATTACTTCAGATTAATTATGCTATCTTATATTATATAAGCGTAACCTGTGAAATTTATCTCCTGTCACTCAAGCCTTAGCTTCCTTTAGGTCGCTCCTTTTCTTAACCATATCAGACATCTCGCGACCAGTCTCAGTCCCCAGGTTCGCAAATCCCTCGACTACTCCCTGTCTATCACCGACAGACATCTCCTGACTCATCTTAAATTTGCCTTCCAACCGATCAACTTTGATTTCAATGCCAATGATGTTTTTCTGCAGCAGCTCAACAAAGCGTTCCGGTGCGTCCGAGACTTTCCACGACTTTGGTTTACCAGCAGTTCCGGTATAGCCCATTATAGAAGTCTCGGAGTGTTCCGACAAATCAGAGGTTTGCTTTGACAAAAAGGCTACGGACTCATCCGACTTGTGATCCCAGTAGATTTTTGCACGACCATATAGTTGTACTGCCGCGTAATTCCATGTGGGCACAACTTTCCCCGTAGCTGGCTTGGTCTCGGTGTAGAACTTGGGCGTGACGTAATGGTGGGCTGGTGCCGTGAAGAGAACCAAAACTTCTTCTTCGAGGACATTCGGCGTAGGGCTCGCCTGCGCGGCCTCAATTAGGACCTTGCTCTGCGGGTTTTGGCGTGCGATATGGCCACGCAGGACTCCGAGCTCTTCGCTGTCCTCATTCTCAACGTCGAGAAGAAATGGGATATGACTTGAAAGAATGAAGGGCGCAGATTTCGAACGAATAGCCGTCGTCAGGACGCCCAATGGATGGTCGCGAATGAGCTGTCGCAAGACGCGGATGGAGGTCTCTGCGTGGTCTGCGCGGAGAAACATGGTTACGACGGTCGGCCGAATGCTAAGAGACAACTGCGAAAGGGGTAAGGTAGATGCGGGTTTCTCTACTTCTCATGCAGTATTGCTCGTCCGGGCAGGCGTCTCTTATAGCAGTTGTTTCGAGAGCCTATGGCGCAAGAAACCAATTACGTCAAACGATGCCGACATGTAGCCGTATAAGGGCGCATCTTGGCCGCTTATCTTGTGACAAATCACGCCACCCCCATTCGTCAATTCCGATGAGGCCACAACGCTTCTGATTCGGGACCGGCAAGGAGTAGGAAGGGTCCGGTAGTCGAAGGGTTTCAATATACTAGGTAGAATGGTAGCATTAGCACTAGATAGATAGCGTACGCTATAGTGGTGGTTAGTACTGTACAACTGGCCAAGATCAATTATTATTACGTTCTTGTTGGTTATGATTCCTCAACACGGGATACACAATCCAATCGTTTTACGGACCTCGCTGCTCATGCTATCATTACTTTCTACGATGCCTGAAAGCCAGTCCAGTTCCTCGCCCCCATAAGTTTTATCGCTCGGATGCGAGAACATCTCGAGATATTCAAGCTGCGTTTGCTGGTTTATTGAAAGAAAAGAAAAGAAAGAAAAAAGAGAAAAAAAAACCAGAAAACCCCCCACATGCCAGCTACCCTGCCGATGACGGTGGGAACAAAGTACTTTCGCGAGGTGTTTGTCGCAGTTGAGATGCTTGGCAGCTCTGAAAATGGCCAATTGCAGTGTACACAAAGGGGGAAATTCTATCCGAAGGCCACCAGGTACCGAGACTTAGGCATGCTAGCTTCAGCTAGTTCACTGGGTGCTCCCTTGTGGCAATCAAGGGCCATTCCCCCGCTCCCAAGTCTGCGGAGTGGACCCCGCAAACGATATGCACAACTAAGTCAGGGGTACTGCCAGGGAGGGGGTTGCAGCTTGCACGAATGATCGGCCGTATGATGTCCGTAAGGCTGCTAGTTCCCGGTTCATCGTGGGTTAGGAATCCTCATTACCATAATAGGTAAGTACGCACCGAGAACTTCGAACGGTTGTTGAATATTGTAATAGCCGTTACTGGTGTATATAGCAGGTTAATAGGTGCTTTAGGTAGTATACAGGGGCTCGGTTTAGTATTTACACTTCATAGTTAGGGTAAGAAGGCAACTACCTAGGTACCTATATATATGATGAGACATCGCTGTCCCTCCGTCCTATAAAGTGCATGGTGTGGCCTTTTGGCATAGATTAGGTAATTCACTTGTAACAACGAGCACAAGTACCTATGCTCTAAAATACTTGTTTTACATAATGCCACTTAGGCACCTGCATGGTTGAAAAGACTCGTTGAGTGCCTTCCCCCGAAAACATAAGGATAAAACAAGTGTGATGTCATATGTGAGTATTCAGCAGTAACATACCTAGGTAGGTCCTTTCCAAGTTCTCCCTTCAATGTTGTGCCCGTTTCAGTACAAGAGATAAGATTGTTGTGCTTTCCTATGCACACATTTTAATAGGCAGCAACAGTATCACTAACCCTAGTATGTGAAAGTTGTGCCAGGGTCTCCAAAACCTTTGCAAGGCTAATACTATACTGACCATATATAGGAGTTTCTTCATCTATATGCCTTGTAAAAAACAACGTTCCTCTCTGTCACAAGGCACAGACAAAGGACTTCCATATATGTATTGAGGATAGCCTCACTTAGCCTTGAGGCCCCTGTGCAACAACAACAGGAGTCTATCGCCTACCGTATACTAGGCCTTAGTTCGTGACACTCTCAAATAGATATTGCTTTACTAAGCTGTATAGGAGAAATGAAAAGGCATACCTTCTTATATAAGTAGTTTGTTTGTGAAGCGGGCGTCTTCCCATGCAAGTGCCTTGTATCCATTAAAAGCAGGTGCTTTCCTGTGCAAGTGCCTTGTATACAAGGAAGGTGCTTTCCTATCTATATAAGTGGTTTGTTTGCGAAGTGGGTGCTTTTCTGGGTAAGTGCCTCCGAGGCCGTATACGAAGAAGGTGCCTCCCACTTGCTGTACTAGACAATGTAGGTAGTAAAAGATCTTCGCACCTCTGCTCACATAGTTCTCCTTTTCTCTTCTTCTCTTCAAAATCCCCCGTCGGCTCACACTATCTTATGAAAATTTTCAGCATTTACTGTTCGAATTGTTCTCATAAGAGTTCAAGATGCCGCCAAAGGTGCCACAACTAATTAGAGCTCCGGCTCCGAGCCACTTCGCCCAGCACATAGATGATCAACCTGAAGCGCTTGTGGGGGCCAAGTTCGTTTCGGTTCAAGCCAAAGCCTGTTAAAAGGCGCGCCGGCTAGATGCCAGCCACGCTGGTTCATCATCCAGGTTAGCCACCAAAGCACTTCATGTCGTCTTATCTATCCTCCGGCGTGCCCCAGAACTACATATCGTCCATCCTGGTCCTACTGCTCCTACTGCTCCTAAACAGCCACTTCACACCGCCCCGAAAGAATAGTTTCTTCCTCTGATAGTATCAAAGGGTCCCCTCACCTTCCAGGGAAGCCTCGCCGCCTGAGTTATCTTTACTGCCCAGTGTCTCCTCTTCTACACTGACTTCCTCCACCTTTGCTGACCTAAAGCCTGGGCCCAACATCGAGGTCAGGGCCGACGTCGCAGTTTCCTAGAGGGGTTGAGAAAGCATTACAGGCGAATTCAGGTACCCAACTAAGTCAACAATACTACTACTATCGAAGCAACTAAATACCTCTTGACGCCATGTCAACGCCTCGTCGACCAGACCGCTCTAAACCTCGACTGCCTTCCGCAGCATCCGCAGACCTCCGCTGCCCTCTGGAGACCTACCTACACACACAGACGGACCTTTGCAGACTTATAGGTCTGCTGTTGTCACCCGTCAACGCTTCGTCGACCACTCCGAACCTCCACTGCCGTCCGGGGCCCACAGACCTGCCTACATCTACGCAGGCCTACGCCTCTGCAGACCTCCGCAGACTTTTGCAGACCTTCGGACGTTGACGGCCCGTTAACGCCTCGTTAAAAAAATAACACCGTTACATTGTATTGGCTATGATAAGGAAGGAAAAAGATGAGACACTTTGGGGTGAACCGGGATCGAACCGGTGACCTTCAGATAAACTTGAATGAAGTATAACTTCAGTCTGACGCGCTCCCAACTACGCTACCGCCCCTTGGATGTTATTTTGTGGTGGGGGTGACATTAAGTAGCGGAGTGCTGACGAATACGGATGGACCGAATTACCTAAACAAGCTAGCCTAGCTCTCTAACATTTATTGTGGGGATGTCACGTGTGGGGCAGTCTAGACAGTACACTTGTCCTGCTAATTAATACAACCACTTTTCCTCAATTATACCACAACACATACATAGTACGGTGAGAGCTACAGGATTCGAACCTGCGCGGTTTCCCATCACGGTTGATTATCACGATGCCGACGTCTACTCTACAATGAAAATTTCCCCGTCTACGGCATACGCAGAGCTTCCCCGTTTACAGAGCTACACACCTTGGAATAAATAGCTAGAGCACTCAGCTCGCCACTAATACGTCCACTTTGGAGTCGCCCGTTTATACACGTAAAAGAAATCCCCTACTGCGCATAGACGGTTGTACCCGCTGAAGGGCCCGGGTGTGGGGTTTGGGGTTACGGTTCGCTGGCCGTTGTGCATTTGATAGAATGAGGTATTAGGCTTGATGAGATCGAATGGGAATTCCGTGGTTTGGAGGGTTTGGCAGTAGTTTTGCCCTCGTTAGGAGGGAGGTTTGGCCGTGTGTGGGAAAGTACAGTACGACGGGACAGTGTATATGACAACCCCGCACGGGTCGCCCATATCAATCATCTTCGTTCCTTTTACAAACCACTATTCTAGAGAGGCAAAATTAATCATTACATTACCTGAGATAGGTAGGTGACGATCGCCAGATCGTTAGTACGTAAAACCGGTACTACGTAAATATAGCTGCTCTTGGGGAGTGAGGGTATTTGAAGGAAAACATCTCGGGAATAAACATTCGGCAGCGTATGCTTTGTTCCACCTTAACGCCATGCGTGTTCTAATAATGCCTATTAAGTGCAAATATCCATCGGTTTATCCTCCCAGCCCATTGACCTTCAGATGATTTGGATGAAGTTAACCTCAGTCTGACGGGCTCCCAACTACACTACCGCCCCAAGATTGATGAAAGCGGCCTGTTTATCAAGTTAGAGGCTGCTCTATAAAAACATGGGAAGTGCATTACTGTAAATCGATAAGCCATTCATTATCACGCAGCAATTGTTGTTGTATGCACAGCTTGTTACATATATAGCTAAGTGTACCTATCTATGCTTGTTATATATACAGCTTGGTGTATGCACTACTACGGACATCGCACTAACAACACTTTTTACGACACTACGGACAACTTGGGCTTCCGTGCCCTCGTGTTAGACAATAAGCAGTCCTAGGCGGGGGTACTTTTTTGGAGTTGCCTGAATTGCATCACCTACCCTGTATGAACCCAAAACTGGATTTTTTAATGTCCATCTTGTAATAGCTCCCGTTACCAATCAAGCCTTTTTATTCTGTAACTATTTTCAGTTTACTTGCGGTAAACAAATACACCTTTTTTTCCTCATTAAATTTGTTTCTAGTGAGCCGGTGAGTAGGTGAGAGAAGAAGAACTTCCGTAAGACTTTCATTGCTAGAGTTGCAATGAGGGGGTGAACTAGTAGAGGCAGACGCTCATCCGGCATAGGTCCCGTCAGCCTACTTACCTCTGGTCGGTGAGCTGACTGGCGTTTTATGACTAAAATATGGCACAATAAACCCGACGGTGCCGCTATAGGCGAGCTGCGACCTTCCCGATCTGTATTTCATTTATTGCTTCGGGTATTATCCCGCGCAGCGGTCCAGTAATGAACCGTCACAGCCAGCCTCTTGTCCTACGAGATAGATAACAGCTCGGATGACGACGAGCTGACTGGACCCCCGCCTTGGCAACCCCGGCACCCGAGAAGTTTAGTGGATACGGTTGGTAAGACCATGACTGCGCTCGGCGGATATAATCAGGTAGGGCAATATGACATGTCCGGCTTACATCATATATAACTACAATAAATGCACTGGACCTTGAAGCTATGTTGACTGAAATCTCCTCCGCTGATCCCGTTGTTTACTTCTCATTTTACGAGATTTCACATGATGAAGTGGTCAAAAATCTTATCTGCTGCCTTGATCACCGCGACATTAGAGAATGTTCAAGCTTACAAGCGAGACATTCCGCGCCAAGACCTTCAATATGAAGCCCACTACTTTCAACAGAAGATAAACCATTTCTCCGAGAACAAGCTACCCTTCACGAACGAGACATTTACTCAGCGATATGTTGGAACCATTTTCTTTTGTCTTAGCAACTTCAAGAGCGCGATATTTCCTTTTCGGGGATGAAAGGGTGTTGAATGCCTTCTGAAGCTCTCACAAATCGCGCTTTAAATAGCGATAGCTGACCTCAGTTGCTATAGTACTTCGATTCGTCCTACTACAAGACAGGTCAGAGTCGCCCAGTGTATACCCTTTGACAGTGTTACTAAGCGGACAAAAGGCGGGCCAGTATACCTTTATATAAGCGGGGAGACGAGCGGTGAGTCTATTTGAGCCCTGTTTGACAGATTTGGCCCAATCGCCCTCCCGGGGAATTTCAGTGCGAAATTTGGCATGGTAGCATTCATACAGGAGGTTAACATCAGACTTCCTAGGACCAAGTCGATTCTCCAATTTACAGACCGGGATTATCCAGATTCTTATGGAAGGTCAGTAAAATCAGTAGGTAGAGAAGCTACATGACTGACACAAAATAAAGCGACTCATGGCCTGGGAGTTATACTAGAAAATCGGTATTATGGAGCAAGCTATCCATTCAATACCTCCACTACAGACCAACTGGCTTTCCTCACAACCGCTCAAACTATTGCGGACAATAACTATTTCGCACAGAATGCTGTGTTTCCGGGGGTAGCAGGCGATCTGACAGCTCCAGATACTCCTTGGATTCTCTACGGTGGCAGCTTGGCTGGAGCGCAGACGGCATTCTCGATCAAACAATATGGAGACATTCTATACGGCGGTATAGCATCAGTGCGTAACCCCTGGAGTCATTTTCTTCCTGTTCCAGCCGCTCGCGGAGTCAAAAATTTCCCGTCAGAGAAATGGACGTGTCTCTGGAGCATGCAGAACTCCTAAAACCTGTGCCGATCTTCCCAAAAGAGTATTTACTGACTCCAGCGAGCTGTAGTCGGCCCCAATTCACGTTGTCGTAGGCTACCCTGAGTGGTATGAGCCAATCCAGAAGTTCGCACCACAAGTGAGTAATAGAAGGCTATAGCTTCAGTTGCTATTCATACCCCGCCACCAACACCCTTGATCATTCCAAGCTAATAAAACTCTATGCATAGGAATGCGTGAGCCGTATCAATAACATAATTGACAAGTTTGACGCACTTATCACCAACAAACATACTGCGGCCATCAAACAGTTCAAAGCGTTGTTTGATTTAGAAGTGCTGACAGATCATAGGGACTTTGCATCCGCAATAGTCGATCCAATTGGGAATCCTGGGGTCTATCGCTCTAACACTTGGCAGGAACTGAACTGGAATTCTACCTACGGCTCCCGTGACTTTTTCTATTTCTGCGGAAATGTGTCAAATATTGACGCCCCGAAGGAGATATCCGAGGTTGACTATGCCCTGAGTAATTATACTAAGGGTGAGCCTTGGGTCGGCTTAGGAGGATATGCTGTAACCATCCTGCTCTTCTTTTCCTCCGTCATAGTCTAGTGTCACGCACTTTTAGCTTTTCTAACAGTCTCCAATGACAGGATTACATCAAGAAACACACTCTTCCTCTCTGTAAATCGGGTAAATATAATAGTAAGGAGTGCTGGGTGAGTTTTCTAATGAAAAGCCAGAGCGACAGTGTCGGGTTTGAAGTCAAGTCTGACCGAAAATAACAGGGAACTCAAAATAAGAGTGCTTGGGCGGATGTCACGAATAATGATGATCGATCCTACCTATATACTAGTTGCACTGAGCAGGTACGGGATAAGTCCACCTATTATCCTTCTTAATATTAATCTCAGCTAAATTGTCTTTCAATAGGGGGCATACATTGACGCGCCCAAGGAAGGACCGAGCTTGCTATCGCGTGTAGTCGATACCTCATATGAACAGCAGGTAGGTGATTCTCGGGGCCGCTGTCTTCTTGTTTTGCCAATTTGGAAAGTAGAAGCTTTCCGTCTGGGTCAAGACAGTATCTTGAAACTTCTGAAACTATGGCAAATCACGCTTTAAATAGCAATAACTAACCCTGAACTTTCTAGTGGTGCACGGTAAGCTTGGAAAGTTCCTAATAATACCCAGCTAGCAATGTTGATGTTGGGTTTATTCCTCGTGTGGGCGACTTCACCAATAACCCCAGCGCTAATAATTTATATCCTAGTGGGCTTTCCCAAAAGGAGAATACAACAAAATCCCACGGAGTCCTGACCTCGCTGTCTATAACAGCTTTGGTGACTTCAACTTTACTGCTGACAGGTTGGCGTTCATCGACGGTGATCAGGTTAGTCTTGGGAGTCTTTCATCCCACCCCCCTTCCCCCCTTTTAGCATTTCTCAGAGACGCGAGTTGCCTTACTAGGCAATTTCTGCTCCTCGTAGTGCTGGAACTTCCCCAAAATCTTGGGTAATTCCTATCATAAGGGGATATTATTGACTCCCGTGTTATAAATCAAGGACGTCTGGAATGGTTTGTGCTACCATTCGCCCCTCGCGCCGGCGAGGAGACAAACATCGGATTTGCATCCAGAACTCTTCATCACAGGTGCAGGCCATCACGTGAGTAACCACTGGAGTCATTTTCTTTCTGTTTTGGCCGCTTGCGGAGTCAAAAATCTCCCATTAGAGTAATGGACATGCTTCGGGAGCATATAGAAATCCTAAAACTTATGGCGATTTCTCCAAAGAGAGTAATTACTGACTCTAGCGAGCTATAGTGGGACTCATCTGGGATTCTGAACGTCGAAGCCGAGCCCCAATTTATCAGAGAAGCCCACCTGTGGGAGATTCGCACCGTCAAAATATGGCTGCGGGAGTTTGACTCTTGGAAACCCCGGAGAAAGGCTCCTAGAGTG